TACAGTAAATGACGTTTTTAGACACCTTTTTTGATGACGAGTCAGTTAATCTCTCGAGAACCGCCTTATCTATATAATGAGCTTCTATTCATCCAGGGAACTGAACACCCTACATAGCTGTACCTACTAATATATGTGAGTTACTGCCCTTGCTACTCACAGTTCCCCCGCCCCCTAATGTGTATAAAGATACGTGACTACTCACCACCACCACCACCCCCGCCGCCACCACCAGCACCACCAGCACCACCACCACCACCACCAATAATAATAATAATAATAATAATATTAAAATAATAATAATAAGATGATGATGATGATTATGATGATGATGATGATGACGAAGAAGAAGAAGAAGAAGAAGAAGAAGAAGAAGAAGAAGAAGAAGAAGAAGAAGAAGAAGAAGAAGAAGAAGAAGAAGAAGAAGAAGAAGAAGAAGAAGAAGAAGAAGAAGAAGAAGAAGAAGAAGAAGAAGACTGACACTAGTAACATCATCAACAACATCAACAATGATAATCCTAACACAAACGGTCTCTTACATCACATATGACAGCTATTTCCGAATGAAAACATGCAACAGTAACTACAAACACACCCTGAGATAAAACAATCTCACAAGGTCAAGAAACAGACAACGTCTACTCGAGCAATGTGTGATAAGTTACAAATAGTATGTGAACACTGATCGTCGTATAGAGACACAAGATAAGAGCCAGTGTCTGGCTAACTGAAGTCTGTAAACAAATAATATCCAGAGAGATACGCCGATCTATATAATTAGGATAAGTCTTTTACGTAGGCACTGATTTTCGCCAAATGTTGAAGTTTTTTTTTTAATGTCTACTGTGTAATACGAAGAAGAAAAAGAAAGAAGAAGAAGAAGAAGAAGAAGATGATGATGATGATGATGATGATGGTGATAATGACGATGATTATGATGATTATTATTATGATGATTATGATGATTATTGCTATGATGATTATTGCTATGATGATTATTGCTATGATGATTATTGTTGTGATGATTATTGTTGTGATGATTATTGTTGTGATGATTATTGTTGTGATGATTATTGTTGTGATGATTATTGTTGTGATGATTATTGCTATGATGATTATTGTTGTGATGATTATTGTTGTGATGATTATTGTTGTGATGATTATTGTTGTGATGATTATTGTTGTGATGATTATTGTTGTGATGATTATTGCTATGATGATTATTGTTGTGATGATTATTGTTGTGATGATTATTGCTATGATGATTATTGTTGTGATGATTATTGTTGTGATGATTATTGTTGTGATGATTATTGTTGTGATGATTATTGCTATGATGATTATTGTTGTGATGATTATTGCTATGATGATTATTGTTGTGATGATTATTGCTATGATGATTATTGTTATGATGACTTTTGTTATGATGATGATTATGATGTTGATTATGAGGATTATGATGAGTATGGTGGTGGATTACACATCAAAGAATAACAGGCTATAAGAATCACTTCTGAGACGGAAGCGAGATAGGATCCATACAATAGAACCCTACCTGCACAAAGCCACGCCAAGCAGTCAACCAAACAATATAAATATTGTTGTTTGTTTTAGTATTTTATTCTATTTTGGCGACGGCTACGTTTTCGAAAACGTCTTATCAACTAGAAAAAACTGCAGTTGTGTGAGGGAAGAGTTACTAATGACTAAACCGTTTAGCGCTAGAAATTATTAATGGGCATCTGAGCATCGAAACCAAACGAAAGTAGAACCAAATCAAGAGAATAAAAACGTCTCAACATCCAAATATCATAATGCCAAGCCCGTATATTTTAATCGGAAAGTTATCACACCCACCGTCCGCTCCCCAAACAAACACATACACACACATATACACTTAACCTCCGTAACCTGGATCTACACACCGGGTCATGCGGGCGTGAAGGGAAATGAGCGAGCAGACCAACTGGCAAGCACCGCACTAATGATTGCGGGAAAAAGTATGGACAGAGCAGATATAGTCAACGCTGTACGAACTGGGCTAGTGGAGAATGAAGAATCCCTGACACTAACACGATTGCGTGACATGGGAGTTAAGCATGGTGATGCACGTCTTTGCCGTCTTCGAGGCCGAGAAAGGAGACAATATAACCAGCTTCTCATGGGGACAATTAGTAGAAGTACTTTGGAGTGGCTGCCTGCTTCAGAGAATGAGCACGCATGGGTATGCCCAATGTGCAGTGACATTAATTGTGATAACAAAAACATAAAATAACATCTTAGTAGGGAGTCGGCAGTACGAAACCCAAGTTCAAGGTGTCTCCTTCGTGCCAAAGAACTGCATGGCTGTTGGGTGAACAGTCGTTAACGATGGCAGGCAGGTCGTTATAGGGGCGATGCCTGCTGGTGGATGTAACGTCCTAAATCCCTTCCCCAGCTAATAATGAGGGTACTGCTGGGGTGACCGTTTATTAACCCTCATATAATTCTTCCGGTCAAAATGGACGCTAGGCACGGCCACTTTTTTTTTTTTTTATTTAATATTTTTTTTAAAGCCGTGGCAAATGTTTTTTTTTTTTTTTTGCCAGACGGTGGCCGTTGCATTTTTGTTCCATTTGTAGACTGGAAGGATGTAGTTTCGTCGCCCAGCTTCTGAGTTGAGTGCATGGCGTGACACTGTGAGCTGCGTTTGTTTTTCGTTGGCACAGGAGCGGAGCATCTGTGGGGTGACCCGTTTGCTATGAAGCTGAAACTAGGATTACCAGATTACCAGATTACACATACACACACAATTAAAATCGTAATGGTTGGAGAGAAAAAGAAATGAGGTAGAGAGCTATACAAGTAGGGTATACATCAGGAGATAATGAACCGTAGTCTAAAAGTGTGTATTTCCAGGGTGACAGTCAGAAAGTTTTTCAGATCCACTGCAGTCAGTCGTGACTGTGAATCGGCACACCGAGACGACACGACAAACCGCACACCTTTTGTGTACACTAATAGTAATAGTTATACAGTCAGCACTAATCCACTAAATTGAATAAAACATGTAAAACAGGCAGTCGCTTTTGACTGGGCTTGAATTTTGTACTTTATTTATAAAGGGTTAACTTATTTGCTTCATTTGTTTAATTTTTACTGTAGTATGAATTTGACGAGATACAGTAAAATATGCCAGACAGTAAATTGTGCAATTTATTGTTTGTCTCCTTTGTTCGAATACATTGAATATTTATTACTCAACGGAAAAGCCCACGAAATATAACACAGAGATTTTAATTGTTTAGGAAAT